TATTCGCAAAAGGAACAGTTAAGTTTGGGGAAATTGATTGACATTTTACAAATGAAGTATTTACTATATGGTTTTCAGTTTTTTCCCAAGATGTTCTGTAATTTCTTGTTGAAATACATTCGATTTTCTCCATTTGTGTTCTCGTTGACTACAGTATAACAGCTAGAAAAAATTATTTTATTCCACAGGAAATTCATAGTAGACGAATTAAGATGTTTTGGGACTTTCAGAATTCAAGAAGGCGGTTGTTCTTTATCTTTAACTAACTATGATATAGCAGCTGCAACTATCAAGTATGATGTAGTATTGATTATTACCCAATATTGCATAACAACCTGATATATATATAGCACTGGGCGGCCGTTTCCTCGTATTGTGGGACTCCTTGAAACTATGCACAAACGATCCCGATTCGAAGTCAGGATCGGTTCAGTGGTCCAGTGGTTAAGTGCTGTGTTCAAATCTTGCGAAACGGGATTGTGGATGAGCACTAATGAGGAATCCCATAGTAGGATGAAACGACCAACCAGTGCATCCAGGTTTTCCAATTGACTCATGATCTCAACTAATGAAATTACTATACCATCCATAAAAACCCTTCTCTGATTATTTGATTCCTTTGAGATGGTGGAGAAGATTCGTAGCTCAGGTGGATGATTTTGGTGGAGTTTTGTTCTCTGAGCTGGATGGTTTGGTCGTGGAGCTTTCATCGTTCTTCTGAACGACATCATCAGCACAAACTTCAGATAGAAGTGAAGTGTTTGAATTTCTCCATATGTGTCTCAAAGCTTGTTCTGTGCACCTCGACGTTGATTGGTTCTTATTGACCTTAAATTTGTCGTTGTTTACTTCTTTGTTTTGGTTGTGTCTCCCATTGTTTTGATTTTTGTTCTTATGTTTGTGCATGATTTTTCTGATTGGTTGATAAATTGGATTGATTTCAATATGCTTGTTGATTGCTAATTGACCTGAGTGCCAGGCTTCTAAAAATTCTCTGGTGTTTTTGGAGTTTCCTCTGTCTAAGATTTCCACATTTTTCCAATCGAATGAGTGTCCGCAGTTGTCCACGTGTATTGATATAAGTGAAGAGATATCATGCCGTTTGACTGCTAATTGATGTTCATGTAGGCGAAGGTGAAGGGGGCGTCCGCTTTGTCCGATGTAGTGTTTTTCGCAGTTGGCACAATTTATTTTGTAGATGATGTTTGATTTGTTTTCCTTTGTTATTTCATCTTTTGGTTTGCATAAGATTGATTGTAGTGATTTTGTCGGTTTGTGTGCCACACCTATTCCGAAGGTTTTCAGCAGTCTCGTCTCGGTTTCTGATATTCCTTGTATATATGGTAGGGTGATCCTTTTGTTGATTTTTGTGCTTGACTTGAGTTCTAATGCTGCGTGCGGTTGGTATTTTTTGATGAAGTTGATGGGGTAGCCGTTCTTCTGAAATACATCCTTTAGGTATTCCTCTTCATTTCTTCGTGCTGCCAGTGTGCTGCAGTGTGTCCTCGCCCTCTTGAACAAATTGTGTACGCAGTTGATTTTGTGAGCTCTGGGGTTGTTGCTATTGTAGTTGAGAATTTGATCCGTATGGGTCGGTTTCCTATATACCTGAGTTTCCAGTTTTCCTGTGTCGGTTCTAGTGATCAATATATCCAAGAATGCTAGTTGGTTGTTTGACTCCTGTTCCATGGTGAACTTGATGTCATCGAAGACGTTGTTGATCAGGTTGTAAGTGTTTTCTAGTTCATTCTTTTTGACGATGACGAAGGTGTCGTCTACATAGCGAATCCAAATTTTTGGTTTGATCACTGGTAATATCGCGGCTTCTAGTCTTTGCATCACTGCCTCTGCGATCAATCCTGATATTGGTGATCCCATTGGTGTCCCTTTCGTTTGTTCGTAGATTTTGTTGTTGAATTGAAAGTATGTTGTTAGGCATAAATTGATGAGTTCCTGTAGACTTTGAATTTGAAGCTTCGTGTATTTGGTGAGGTTTGTGTCGTTGTTGAGCAGCAGGGATATAGTTTCTTTTGCTAATTTTGGTTCAATTGAGGTGAATAGTGCTGTCACTTCGAAGGATATCATCAGTTCGTCGTTGTTGATTTGGATGTCCTTAATTTGGTCCAGGAATTGTGTAGGGGATTTGATTGAGTGGTTGGCTGAATCTACTAAATGTCTCAGTATTCTTGAAATTTCTTTTGACAAATTGTACGTTGGTGTTCCGGGGAGTGCTACAATTGGACGTAGTGGGATGTTTGGTTTGTGTATTTTGGGTCTGCCGTATAATCGAGGAAGTACTGGTCCGTTGGATTTCATTCTCCATTGTTCTTGTTTTGTTATTTCTCCTGCTTTGACTAGCTTGTTTAAGGTCTTTGAAATTTGGTTGTCTAATTTTTTGACGGGATTTGTATCCATCAATTTGTATGTGCTCTTGTCTTCCAGTAGTTCTTCGGCTTTTTTGACGTATTCTTCTTTGTCCATGATTACTGTGGTGCGTCCTTTGTCCGCTGGTATTATGACGATATCCTTTCTATTTTTGAGTTCTTTTAAGGCCTTTTGTTCTTGTGGAGTCAGTTGGTTGTTTTCCTTCGCCTGTTGAGTTAGCGGTAGGTCAATAAGAACCAATCAACGTCGAGGTGCACAGAACAAGCTTTGAGACACATATGGAGAAATTCAAACACTTCACTTCTATCTGAAGTTTGTGCTGATGATGTCGTTCAGAAGAACGATGAAAGCTCCACGACCAAACCATCCAGCTCAGAGAACAAAACTCCATCAAAATTTGATTCCTTTATTCACCAAGGCGATTTAAGTCGATAATAATATACGAGGATAGCAATCAGAAATGATCATACTGGAGTTTAGATATATAGAGACCTACAAATATCAATAGCCCGTCGATAACATCGTACAATCTAATTGGAGTCACATCAAGAGTCACTAAAAAAATGAAATAAACTAAAGACATTCATTCACACATAAAATAGACTCAAATGTACACCTTCATTTGTAGACAATTACAAGTTTCTTAAATAAAAACAAAAGTCATTAAAAAAATATTCTGATTTGATAGTAGTATTACACCAATCAACTAGTTTCCAAGTCTATCACTTAAACTACCTTTCATATTGTCATCATTACTCACTTACTAACGCCTGTTACTCTCAATGGAGTATAGGTATATTGTCATAATACATCAAAGCATTATTGAAAGTAATTCAAATATATATATATATATATATATATATATATAGATTGTAATGATATTTGATTGGTGTATAGTATCTAACGGATTATATATATTCACATAGGCTACTAGTAAAAGTGATAAAACAATAATGTTTATTCATTCATATATCATATTATTTCTATTATTTCTATTATGTAATATAGTGAATAATTCATCATTCTGTGGTTCTATTTCTCCTTTGAACATGGTAAAACTAGTTTTCTTTTTTCGTTTTAACTAAACATATTTATTTGATATTTAGGAACATGGATTACCTATTCATTCTGATAAAATGGATAAACGAGACATGCATCCTCGAAGATTAACGTTCTATCCATATTTTACTGAAAGTTTTCATAGATTGCAGTACTCTGTCAAACTTTTGGTACGCATTATTATATAAAATTTCGCTTGTATATTTGTTTAAAGTAGAAACTATGTTATACCATATATATGTATTTATATTTTGATAGAGTTTTTGTTCTTTGAGCTGGATGGTTTGGTCGTGGAGCTTTCATCGTTCTACTGAACAGCATCATCAGCATAAACGTCAGGTTGAAGTGAAGTGTTCGAATTTCTCCACATGTGGTTTACTGCTTGTTCTGTACACCTTGATGTTGATTAGCTCTTGTTGACCTTAAACCTGTCATCGTTTACTTTTTTTCTTTTGGTTGTACCTTCCATTTGTTTGATATTTGTTCATAACATGTGAAGAAATTTGAACACATCACTTCTACCTGTAGGTTGTTCTGATGATGTCGTTCAGAAGAACGATGAAAGCTCCATGACCAAAACATCCAGTTTAGAGAACAAAACTCCATGAAAATCATTCACCTGAGCTACAAATCGTCTCCGCCATCTCATATATGTGTAAATCATATAGATTTTTCAGATTATTTTATTCCATGAAATATAATTTATGGAAGACCTTTGAGTGACGCTAAAGTAAACTTGAGAGCGCTCATCTAATAACTAGAACCAAATGATGGTTATAAACCAGTATGAGGAATTAGATTTATGGTTTTCATCACAAACTGACACCAGCTATAATACCAAAACTCTTTTAAGCCGAGTGGATGAATGTATTTTGCGAGAAAATTCGACACTATTATCTTATACCTGATTCATTCGTCTATAAATTGTAGCCTCGTCTTTTTTATCAATCTTTTAATATATATATTTTGCAGGAATTCGCACATCAGGCGATGCAATTTTGGCAAGAAGCATTAACAGTTAAAAGACCAGAAAAAACTAATCAACTTGCTCAAAGGTATCATTTGAATAATTAATTTTCAATTTTTCGATTATTATCATTGTGGTATTGTGGAGATTAATAAATCATTAATTGAGATTATGAATTGATTGATAATAGATCATCAGTGAAAACCTGCAAGTACTAGATGGCCGTTTCGTCTAAATATAGGATACTTCAGCAGTACACATCTACAATCCCGCTCATGGGACTCGAACTCAGGACTTTCAGTCTCGCGTGTGAACCCTAAACTTCTAGACTACTAAGTCAGCATCCAACGGTGTTAATGTCTAACTTTTACTAATCCACGAAATTGCGCGACCATTTTCCATTGTTCTGAGGTAGATAACTGTCTCTAGCCGACACGGACTAGTTCCGCTGGTCGCGTCTTCTTATTAGAACTTGAAGAATTCCCTCACAGAGCTAGTTACCAGTGACCTATCAAAATGTTTTAGTTTTAAACTACAACAATGGTTAAATGTTACATTTTAAAAATGATTTCTTTTCCTGAATATCTAGATATTGTGAAAGTTCCAATAACTACATTACTTATCCAAAGGATTCTGTTTGTATTGAATCACGATGCCAAATTCAAGCAAAATGTGGTCATGTAGATATCCCAAATGAATATTCATCTGTGAGTATATTACTGAAAAGTTCCATTTATATTAATGTTGTAAATCATTTTTTTACAAGTCTATTACTTCTATTTCAACAAACACTGTTGACATTTATGCCAATTTTTAAATCTCACAGGCAACTAATAATAGTTCGTTGAAATCTTTAAAGAAGATTTACACAATATCTTGATGTATATAGCTTACGTTAGTTAAAAATGAATACCTGAAGATAAACGATGAAGAATTTCAGTCTTTCTAATACTTACTTACGCGTGTTACTTCCAGTGGAGCATAGGCCACCGACTAGAATTCTCCAACCCACTCTGGCCTAGGCACTGTTTTCTAATTCCATCCAATTCTTGTTCATTCTTCTTATGTCTGTCTCCATTTCTCGTTGTAATGTGTTCTTTGGTTTTTCCCTTCTCCTTTGACGTTGAGGATTCCAAGTGAGGGTTTCCTTTGTGGCGTAGTTGGTTTTTTTTCTTCAACGTGTGTCCTATCCACTTCCAACGCTTCTGTCTGATTTCTTCCTCTACTGGAATGTGGTTTGTTCTCTCCCATAGTAGGTTGTTGCTGATAGTGTGTGGCCACCGGATAGGAAGTATTTTGCGTAGACAATTGTTATTAAACACTTGTATCTTCTGGATGATTGGTTTCGTAATTCTTCAAGTTTCCACCCCATACAGTAGAACTGTGTTGACATTTGTACTAAAAATTCCAAATTTCATGTTGATTGACAGTTGTTTTGAATTCCAGATGTTCTTCTGTTGTAAATATGATGCTCATGCTTTGCCGATCCATGTCTTTCTAATAACTATCAATCAAAAAAATATGTTTAGAAGTGTACGACTTCTGTTAATAAATTTAGTCGATTGAAACGTACTGTTTATAGATTGTCTATAATGAAATACTATTATAAAGGTAAATCTAAAATGTTCTTTTATTTTGAGTAACCAAAATGAATTATAATTAGCAGTAATGATGAAAAGATCTTGAGTGTCTACAAGACTTACACCTTTATCTAAAACTATCAAATGCCTGTTCATTCATTATTTTAGCGTAAAGATTGTTCACTTTTATTCCCCATTTAATTATTTACTCGGTTCATTATATTCTCTATTGTAATTCTACATTCTATTAATTTATGGACAATATTTGAGTGACACTAAAGTGACCTTTGGAGTGTTCACTTAATAACTAGAATCAAATAAGGGTGATAAACCTGTGTAAAGAATTACAATTATGATTTACATTTGATAGTTAAGGTTAGGTGATTAGATTTATGATTTTCATTATGAACTGACATCAGCTATAATGTCAAAATCCAATTTAGTCAAATGAATGACTGAATTTTGTGTCAAAATCCGAGACCTTTTTGCCTTGTAACTAAGTGGTTTGTTCATAAATTATAGTCTTACCGAATCTACTTCTTGTCTTGTGTTAAAATTTATTCAGCATGAATATATACAAATATAGTTATTATATTAAATAAAAAGTATGTACATTTCATGTGTTCAATATATGCTACTTATATTATGAATATGAATATTATTATTCATCAGGAATGTTCAGAAAAGTACAATGGAAGGTTGCATAGACTATACACTAATGGAAGTGGAATTCCATCTGCCAGTTATGTCCTACTTTTTGATGGTTATCAAACAAGGAGCTGTACCGGCAATGTAGCAGCTCATGCTGGATCTTGTTTAATGGATCTAGATACTGACAGGTAATTACATTTATTTAATTTTATAGAAAAAATATAAAAAAAGTGATTTTGAAAAAATCTTTTGAGTATTGTGAACCTTGTTGTTTGTTTCTTAAGAGAATAAAGTTGAAACAAAGTTTAAATTAATAACCGTTTTTTGTCTGTAAACTGATATTGTGGTGTGTGCAAAATAAGTAGTATGTAAACAGAGTCAGGAATAGAATATCTGTCAGTAGAAGATTGAGAAGATCAAGAATGAAAGAACGAGAACAGAAAACAATTGATATAGAAATGCAGGAATAGTGAAGAATGAGACGATTGACTGATATTTGCAAAAGCAACAGTTAAGTTTGATAAAATTGATTGAAATTTTACAAATGGAGTATTTACTATGCATCTGTCATGAACAAGTAGACTAATGAATAATGCACATTTTATCCTTGTTGTAAGTACGTCCAGCCTATGTATCTCAAAATCGACATTATGTTATTCCTGAATTTCATTGTTACACAATACTCATGAATCTAATTTTATTGTCAGAAAGCTTTAGTTGTATGATGTGAGCTACTTATATTGACATAAGTAGTATATAACTCTAGTTAGAAATATAATGCATTTCAGTAGAATATCCAGAAGGAAAAACGGGAACGGAAAACAATTGGTATGAAAATGCAGAAACAGTGCAGTGTGAGACGACTGACTGATATTTGAAGAGGGAGCAATCAAGTTTGAGACAACTGATTGACATTTTGCAAATGATGTATTTACTGTATGTATCTGAGATTTTACTAAGATGTTTTGTAATTTTTTGTTGAAATACATTCGATTGTCTCCGTCTGTGTTCTCGTTCACTAAAGTACTTCTTTTATCTTGTCATTGATTCCACATTTTTGTTGAGCCGAAAAGTTTTCATCCCTAAACTTTGTAAGGAATTATTCTACATACATTTTCGCCATATATGAACTAATTTCGTATTATCATAATACTAATTAGATGAAAACGGTGACTTTTGCACATTTCAAAGTCTTTTGGGGAAAAATATTGAATTATGAATTATTTCTTTAACTCTTTGATTGACATCGGGTAGAATTTAAATCCAAATTTAAAACTATCTACATTACAAGTTGGTTCCAAATGAAAACTAAAGAAAACTATAATTGAAACCAATTAGAATGATTGATGGTGTTATCGATTTTGATGGAATTTTATTCTCTGAGCTGGATGGTTTGGTTGTAGGGCATTCATCGTTCTTCTGAACGACCTCATCAGTAAAAACTTCAGATAGAACTGTTACAGATCATTTATATGAAGAATAATAGTAAATTCCATCTGTCAATTAGTACAAATCATTAATACCATCTACCCTTCATAGTAAACTTGATGGTAGATAGAACAAACATTAATATGTTCGATTGATTATGAATATCATTGATTTTGAAATGCTTGTACTGAAAGTTAGTTAACCCAAACTACCCATATTTGGTTTTCTAATACTCAGTTTCTTGACAGTTGAATTTTTAAAGTCTATCTAAGCTAGATTACCATTGAAAACCTGGAAACACTAGAAGACCATTTCGTCCTTGTAGAGATGTAAACAAAAAATGAAATAATGACATAAACAAATTCACTTGGTATTGTTTTGCTTGTATCTTCCCACTGTTGTATAGGACTGTAATTGATCAGTCTCATATCGGCATAAGTTTACCCTGTGCGGATTGCCTCGATATTGCTTTAAGTCATGAGTATTATAAGCAAAGATGGAACTTTGTTCCAGACTGAACATCAACTCTGAGATAAAGGTACATTCAGCTGATGAGTGCCAAACAGGACGAAACACACTTACTGGATTCTTCTACTAGCCACTATCCATTTTTACTTAATAACATAATCAATTTTGAAATAAAATTTTAAGAGAAATTATACTGGTATTTGTTTATGTTGTAGACCAATTCTTGGATATGTTAATATATGTCCAGGTAAACTGAAAATTGAATATCCTGAGAATAGATATTCACTTGGAATTTTCACTCATGAAATTGCTCATGCACTTGTAAGTTTATCTATTCTTTTAGTAACATGTATTTGAAATGAACGCTATCAATATATTACACCATCTTGGTTGAAGTTCGTTTACAAACTTTATTTATTCTGAACATACGTTTACTTAATATTATAATCAAAGAGTGGTTTTGTGGTAATTATAGTAATTTAAAAGTTGAATTTATGATTCGATTGAAACTAGACCAACATGGAAAATCTGGAAGCACTGAACTACTGTTTCGTTCTATTGTGAGACTCCTCAGCAGCGCGCATCCACGATCTCAACTCGTGAGATACGAACCCAAGACCTATAGGTCTCGTGCGCGAACGCTCAAACTCTAGACCACTGGGTTGACATCCAACAGTGTTAATGTCTAACTTCAATTAATCCAGTTACCAGCGGAGTTTAACCACATCTGTTGTGAGATAGTTAGTTACTGATGATAATGGTAGACGGTGGCGTGACTTTGTGGATCAGTGGTTTAGAGGTTAGGCGTTTGCGCGCGTAACTGGTAGGTCCTGGGTTCGAATCTCGTGAGGCGGGATTATGGATGCGCACTGCTGATAAGTCCCAAAACGGGATGAAACGGCCATCCAGTTCATCCGGATTTTCCATGGTGGTTCAGCTTTAATTGACTAATGAATTCAACTATTAAATTAGTTTACTTCACAAACTGAAATAATTCCAATTTTATAAAAACTGATATTCAGGCGATTAATATAATGATAAATCATGTGAAGAGTCGATAGTTGTCCTAAAATAATCTACTTTTCAGACATAAAAATTGAATAAATTTAAGGTAAATGGGTAGTTACAAAGATTTGATTCAGTTGGGAATTATTTACCATTGATCAATTCACTGATTCATTTACTATTAGATCTATATTTTGACATCAATGATATAAGCTGCTCACATTTGAGATTGTGTATTCGCCAAAAAGAAAAAAACAAACAATTTTCTCTTTTGTTTTAAAGGGATTTTCGTCATCTAGTTTTGCATTTATGCGCTTTCCTAATGGAACTGAACGAACTCTGAGAGATCATTGGCACAAACCGATTCACAGGGATAAACAAGGTTATTATATACCAAGGTAATTATTTCTAATAAGTATGTATTAGATAATTAAGATTAAAGGCAAATCTATTGACTGACTTCAGGAGATACTCCTGGAGTTCTATTGAGAGGCCGTTATCAGTTGAGTTCAACCAGGTCTGTTGTGAGATAGGAACTCACTGAAGATAATGGTGTACGGTGGCGCAACTTCGTGGTTGAAGTTAGACATTAACACCGTTGGATTCCGACTCAGTGATCTAGTTGGTTAAGCGCCTGGCGCGATACTGATAGATCCTAGGTCCGAGTCTCACGGGGCGCGGGATTGTGGATGCGCACTGCTGAAGGGTCGCATACTAGGATGAAACGGCCGTCCAGTACTTCCAGGTTTCTCATGGTGGTCTAGCTTCAATTGAATCATGATTTTAATCAGTGAAATTTCTAAAATCTCCACAAAACCCATTCTGACAAAAATATAAAGAATTTAAGGAAGAAAAATTTCTATTTGGAGAAATCATTTACTTAAGTTGTACATTTGTATTCATACTTGAACGTTAAATATATGAGTCTATAGAAGGATAGAAGAGATTACATCATAAAATGAGTTGAGACTACAGTTCAGTTATTATTATAACCTTCATATTTTTCGTTTTTTTTCCCTTCAGATCTGTACGTGGACAATTCTAACCCGTAATAAATTATTTCATTCATGTATTCTTCCCTACGTCACCCCCACACATCGTGATTATTAGGCAACCTCATTTGATATTTGTAGTTTCGATTCCCTTTATGATGTTATCTTTTTTTCTATCCTCCTATGGACATATATTTACCATACAACAATAAATACGAATGTACGTCATAAGTAAATGATGTCATGGAAACGAAAGTTGTTACAGACTACTTATAAGATTATATCTAAAACGTATTATGTTATTTGATTTAATGATCATTTTCATTGAAGCTTCTAATATTTTACAATTTCTGAAAAGTGAAATGATGTTGAAACAATGGGTTATATTACTTACTAATTTGCTTACGACGCCGACCAGCATTCTTTGTCCTCGGCCTTACTTTCTAGTTCTGTTCAATAATTTATATTGGGCAGAGTTCAAATCAAGCAACAAATAAGCAAACGAAGGGAAAGGTAGGTTTGACGAATTACCTAATTTAGTTTTATAAGCAAATATAAAAGAGCATTTAAGTAAGTAAGTAAGTAAGTAAGTAAGTAAGTAAGTAAGTAAGTAAGTAAGTAAGTAAGTAAGTAAGTAAGTAAGTAAGTAAGTAAGTAAGTAAGTAAGTAAGTAAGTAAGTAAGTAAGTAAGTAAGTAAGTAAGTAAGTAAGTAAGTAAGTAAGTAAGTAAGTAAGTAAGTAAGTAAGTAAGTAAGTAAGTAAGTAAGTAAGTAAGTAAGTAAGTAAGTAAGTAAGTAAGTAAGTAAGTAAGTAAGTAAGTAAGTAAGTAAGTAAGTAAGTAAGTAAGTAAGTAAGTAAGTAAGTAAGTAAGTAAGTAAGTAAGTAAGTAAGTTTAGGAATGGTAATATTCACAACTCCGCTGGTTTTAATTTTCAAATAACTATGACCATGAGATTGTTTTGTATTGCATTGTAAATGGCTTGAATGACAAGCTTACATTCATACACACCCATGCATACCTATATATATATATATATATATTTGCTTACTTAATGGTTATTTTTAATTTATCTGAATGAATCAAATATATTTTTTCCATAGCGACAATACAATGATCAAAATTACAAGGGATTGGGAAAGTGCAGAAGGAATGTTTAGAAAGGATTTTTACTCTTTCGTTACACCTGCCATCTTGGTAAGTCAATATATATGTTTTACACTTTTTTTTCTATATTTCACTTAACAACAAGAAATAGTTTCAAAGATACATAAATATATACCCATTTGTCAATACAGTCTATGGATATATTAGATATTGGAATGACAAATAGATGACTAACTAACTAACTTACTTACGGTTGTCACTCCCAATGGAGTATAGGCCGCCGATCAGCATTTTCCAACACACTCTATCCTCGAATTTCCTTTCTACTTCTATCCGATTCTTGTTCATTCTTTTCACATCTGTCTCCATTTATCGGTGTAATGTGTTGTTTTGGTCTCTGCAGCCTTTTTTAGCCTTGAGTATTCCAACTGAATGCTTGTCTTGTGACGCATTTGGTTGCTTTCCTCAATGTGTGTTCTATCCACTTCCAGAGTTTCTTCCTTCACTGGAATGGGGTTTGCTCTGTCCCACAGTAAATAAACAAATTGCTGCATGTTATCTATTTTATTTGTATAATGTTGGTTAACTTTGACAGGTAATCTGTTGATTACATCATTCAGTGTTTACCTACAGACAAGATTTTGGAAACTCACTTCATTTACTTCAGTTCTAGGGTAGGATGAATAACGTGTATATATTGTGGCTGAAATCAGAGTACAGAAATCCATACTTGATGATGAAATTACAATTTCATGGCAGTAAAATTCTATAAAATACATGTACAACTGCAGAGAATCTAAAGAGATTGAAAAAAAACAGCTCGTAAACAACTGCAGTGAACGAGAACACAAATTGAGACAATCGAATGTATTTCAAAAAGAAATTACAGAACATCTTAGTAAAATCTCAGATACATACAGTAAATACATCATTTGCAAAATGTCATTCATTTGTCTCAAACTTGACTGCTCTCTCTTCAAATATCAGTCAGTCGTCTCAAACTGCACTGTTTCTGCGTTTTCGTATCAACTGTTTTCCGTCCCCATTTTTCTTTCTCGATATTCTACTGAAGTCCACTATATTTCTAACTAGAGTTATATGCTACTTATGTCAACATAAGTAGCTCACATCATACAACTAAAGCTTTCTGACAATAAAATTAGATTCATGAGTAATGTGTAACAATGAAATTCAGGAATAACATAATGTCCGTTTTGAGATACATAGGCTGGACGTACTTACATCATTAGTCTACTTGTTTATGACAGATATATAGTTTTTTCGATAGATATATCATGTTCTTATTACTTTTATGAATGCACTCATTCCCGACATAGATTGCTCACTTGTACCATTGAATGTCAAATTACTGCACTGTTTAACACAGTAATAATGTTTAGTGTAATTATTTTAATCCGCTGTCGTTCTACAGTAGAGTATCACGTAAATAACTGATTCAAAGTTATATAATCTAAAAATAATGAGAATTCAGCGAAGAAAAATTTCTTTCCGAAGAAATCATTTACTTAAGCTGTTCATTCGTATTTAAAGTTATTGTGGAAAATATATGAGTTTATAGAAGGAAAGAAATGATTACATCATAAATTGATTCGAGATTCTTTCTTCTGGTGGTCGGCTGGATTATGAAGACCTCGACATCTGAAAGAAAACATGGAATACAATGGACAACTCAGAATCAATTAGACGATTTGGACTTCGCAGACGACCTAGCCCTCCTATCGCACACACATGAACAAATGCAGATAAAGACAGCCAGTGTAGCAGCAGTCTCTGCATCAGTAGGCCTCAGTATACATTAAAGGAAAACCAAGGTCCTCAAATTCATAACGAAGTACAGCAATACAATCACTCTTGATGGCGAAATTCTGGAAGATGTAGAATCCTTCACATAATTCGAAGCATCATCGACGAACAAGTAGGTTCAGATGCAGACGTAAAGGCGAGGATTGACAAAGCAGGAGCCGCATTCCTCCAGTTAAAGAACATATGGAACTCAAAACAACTATCTGTCAACCAATATCAAAGTGAGAATCTTCAATACGAACGTCAAGGCAGTTCGACTGTACGGAGCTGAAACTTGTAGAAATAAAACAACCACAGTCAAGAAAGTACAAGTATTTATAAATAGCTGCCTACGCAAGATACTCAACATCCATTGGCCGGCTACCATCAGGAATAGCCTTCTGTGGGAGAGAACAAACCAACTTCCAGCTGAAGAAGAAATTAGGAAAAGACGATGGAAATGGATAGGACATACATTACGCAAATCATCAAACTGCATCACGAGGCAAGCCCTAACTTGGAATCCTGAAGGGAAGTGGAAAAGCGGAAGGCCAAACAACACATCACGTCGGATAATAGAAGCAGATATGGAAAAGATGGATAACAACTGGAAAGAGCTAGAAAGGATTGTTTGGCACAAGGTTGGATGGAGTGTGCTGGTGAGCGACCTATGCTCCTTCATGAAGAGTAACAGGCGTGGAGAGACTCTAATTTAGGGACGAGCCAATCAGAAGCGTTTGAGCAATTTCAAGGTCACGGAGCCAAGTTCAACACGCGCTGCTAACATACGATCGGTTCACAGTGGATTTTAGAGAGTAGGTGATTAATGAGAGGTTACAACAAATGGGACGGCGAGACTCTAATTAAGGGACGAGCCAATCAGAAGCGTTTGAGCAATTTCAATTATTAGTCAATCAGAAGACAGCATAAAGTAAAATATATTAAAAGAAAGTAATAAATTACAGTGGATATTCTTCTTTGACATGATTTAAAAACTCGTATGTTAGCATCCTAACCGTAACCGTAACCCTCACATACTCTAACCCTAACCTTAACCCTAAACCCTTACCTAACCCTAAACCTTAACCTTCAACTAACCCTAACGCTAAACCCTAACCTTACCCGTAAACCTAACCCTAACCCAATAGACGAGTTCTATTCCATATACATTGTGAATTCAGAACCTCTGAACCTTAATCAAACCTTAACAAGTTTTTTAAATCATGTAAAAGGAGAATATCCACTGTAATTCATTACTTTCATATAATACATTTTCACTTTATACTAACTTTCTTCTGATTGGCTAATAATTGTCAAGGTCACTTAAGATTCGTTCAAAGGTCATCCTTAAATTAGAGTCTCGCCACAGGCGTAAGTAAGTAATAAGTAAGATGAGGTTACATAATAATTGAGGGGGAAGAGAAGAGTGTAATGCTGGATTCTCTTTATTTTATATTCAATGACATAATGGATTATTTTAATTATATAATTTATTGAAATAACAATTGATCTTGAGTTATATTCTAATATTCGAGTATATGTTGTTGTAATTTGTTGTGACTTTGAGCTTGATCAACTATCATGTGATTGATTCACCATTCAATCTTAGTACTCTACCCTACCAATGACGTTCGACCATTATGAATAGTCTAGTGTTTTTATTCATCCTTTGTCCTCCTAACCTTTCCAGTTGAGTCTGGAACGTCAATAACAGCTTCTACTACGCAAATCATTTATTTCAAACATACTTGGTTTATATACCAGCCAAACAAACCATATCACACCATAAAATAGAAAATAACATTTGTATAAGATTTAATCAAATATGGCTGTGAATGTGGGAGGCAGTAATCAATAAATTGGACATAACTTAAGAACAGTAAATCATATAATAATAATAATAATAATCTCTAGATGATAATAAAGCTTATGATAAGAGGAATATAGATATAGACAATCTAGTTACTGAATGGTTATACAATAAGAATATATGTATAATACATTGTCTATAGAGAGTTCTCAGAAGTTACCCCTAATTTAATTCTCATTAGGATATCACAATGAGTTACTTAAAAAATAATATAGAACACATTTAAAGTAATTTTAATGTTACTAAACAATATGAAATCTTATATACATACTATTTAGAGAGCTGCAAAAAAGCATTTGAAATGTGCACGTTTAAATGGAGTTGATTTAGAAAATCAAAAACATCGTGGACCAATTAGTTCTCATTGGGAAGGGAAAACATACGGAGTAAGTTGAATTATAATTTATGATAGAATACTGTAGTAAAAATTATCTATTACAAAATAAGGTTTATGGATTCGAATAGAGGACCTTTGGTCTTGCACGTTAATGCCCGAATACAGCGATCGTAGATGTACGCTACTGAGTCGCACAATAGAACGAAATGGCTGTCCAGTGCTTTCAGGTTTTCAAGGGCGATCTAATATCAATCAGTTCATGATCTCAACTAAAAAAGTATATTTTACTAGATATTTTTAAAGATTTTTCTATGATGGTATTTCAACTAGTATTTAGTTTTTATAACTAACCGGTATTTATAATAGAAATATTACAAAACAAACAGGATTATAAACATCGGTCTCTTGACGATTCAAATTCCAGTGTATATCACTTGTGTAAATAATTTTCTTGATTTTATAAGCTAAGATGAATATTGATTAGCAGTGTAATCCAGGATGCACGTTTCATCTTATTTGGCACTCGTCAGCTGAATGCACCTGTATCCTAGAATTGATTTTCACTTCGGAACTTATAAAACTGGTAACTTACGTCTATATCAAGGCAATCCGCATAGGATGCACATATGCCAACAAGAGACTGATCAATTTAAATCTTAAACAACAATGAAAGGATACAAGCAATGAATATCAGGTCAATTTAATCTTTATGATTGTACAAGAAAATCGATAAATCTAGATTTAAATAAAAACGGAAGACACAACAGATGAAAATCTACTTCTAAATTCTTTTATTTTTTTTACATATGCTCACTAGTGACTGGCTTCAAAAGCCATACTGAGAAACAGTGACCAGTGGAGTTCAACTGGGTCTGTTGTGAGATAGTAACTCACTGATGACAATGGTGGATGTGTCGCTCAATTTTGTGGATTAGTTGAAGTTAGACATTTGCACCGTTGGATGCTGGCTCAGTGGTCTAGTGGTTATGTGTTAGCGCACAAGACTGATAGGTCCTGGGTTCAAACCTCACGAGTCGAGATTGTGGATGCGCACTGTTGAGGAGTCTCACAATAGTTCGAAAAGGCTGTCTATTGCTTCCAGGTTTTCCATAGTTATCTAGCTTAAGTTGACTCATGATCTTAACTATTGAAATTACTATAATATCTACAAAAAATCCCTTCTGATTTTATTTTCATTCCTTATTGATACTGATTTTTTGCAAGAGCAGTATTTAACACTATTTAGTCAAGAAATTAACATCTAAACAAAGTTTACAATACCGGTGTCAGGCAAGGTTGCTTACTCTTACCCTTCCTCTTTCTCCTGGTGATCGACTGCATCTTGAAGACGTCAACATCTGAAGGGAAACACGGGATACAATGGACTTCTAGGATGCAGTTGGACGATCTAGACTTCGCAGATGATCTGGACCTCCTATCACAAACGCAACGACAAATGCAAGAGAAGACGACCAGTGTAGGAGCAGTAGGTTTCAACATACACAAACGGAAAAGCAGGATTCTCCGATACAACACAGAATGCACCAATCCAGTCACAATTGACGGAGAAGATTTGAAAGATGTGAAAACCTTTACATATTTGGGCAGCATCATTGATGAACAGGGTGGATCTGATGCAGGTGTGAAGGCGCGTATCGGCAAAGCAAGAGCAGCATATTTACAACTGAAGAACATCTGGAACTCAAAGCAACTGTCAACCAACACCAAGGTCAGGATTTTCAATACAAATGTCATGACAATTCTACCGTATGGGGCAGAAACCTGGATAACTACGAAAGCCATCATCCAGAAGATACAGGTGTTTATTAACAGTTGTCTACGCAAAATACTTCGGATCCGTTGGCCGGACACTATTGGCAACAACCTACTGTGGGAGAGAACAAATTAGATTCCAGTGGAGGAAGAAATCATGAAGAAGCGCTGGAAGTGGATAGGACACACATTGAGGAAAGCACCCAACTACGTCACAAGACAAACTCTCACATGGAATCCTGAAGGCCAAAAGAGAATAGTAAGACCACGGAACCAATTACGCCGGGAAATGGAGATAGATATGAGAGAAATGAACAAGAATTGGATGGAACTAGAAAAGAAGGCCCAGGACAGAGTGGGTTGGAGAATTCTGGTCGACGGCGTATGCTCCATTAGTAGTAACAGGCGTAAATAAGTAAGTCAAGAAAATAACATCTAAACAAAATTTACAAGATGATCATGTTATTCCTGTACGTCGTAAATGGAATTCTATTTAGAATGTCATATTGTAGCACTTGGCTCAAAATCGTTTGTAATGGTGCACGTGCATCCTTTCTTTGTGTTCTCCTAAATTCTAATATTCTGAATACTTCATGTTTCTTTCTTTCTTTTTCCAAACTTATTTCACTGAATTATACTCCTTGAATAACATCTTTGATTGCTAATCTTCCCGATTACTGCTTATACTGTTACTACGTTTGTCACTATGGGATTTGAAACGGCAATTGTATCTGTGTGGTAATGTGGTATGGCAACTTGAACTGATGTACGGCCGTACGTACATACGAAGTTACATGTTCTTGCTGACTGACTGATTATAGTACTTAGGAGATGAAGTTTATCCCATGAAACTATGTGTAATAATTTTATTGCATTATTGTTTATTCATTTCATTTCTTCAAATACATTTTAGACTGAAATAATGACTGGAAGAGTAGAAGTAGACTATGCTGTATCTAATTTGACTTTAGGTTTCTTTGAAGATTCAGGGTAAGATTATCTTTATAATGTAATATTCTTAAGTACTTTAGCTTACAGAGAAAAAAAGTAGTAATTCAGTTTTCCATCAATCCTAGTAATATAATCTATAGTATGAATTACCTCAATAACCTTAGAGTACTTGTTCGTAATATCATAGATCCTCTGTTCAAAAAGAGTATTAAAACACAATTGATTTACTGTATCAATTTAGTTTAAAGTATAAACTATATAAATAGGTTACAAATAACTAAGTTCCATGATCCGTATATAAAGTAACTAAGCCATCATTTTTGACTGATTCATTATATGCTTCGAGAGAATTATAACTTTACAAATATACATATTGTATGTTATTTCCTTACCATAAATAGCTGGTTGTTTGTTAGGAAATTTATCTGATTCTAAGGTAAGGATTGTATCATTTAAATGTGACATTCGCCACTGATCAGAATCCTAAAATCGTTTATGTTTCCAGTAAATGTAGATTGGGTTACAATCAGTTTGCTAAAAATGTCGTCATTTAAGCAAACGAATACTTCAAGTGATTATAAATATAATTAGTATTCATACTAAACATCTCAGTTCATACAGATGATTTTCTCAGCTACTTGGGTCATAGAAACATTTCTTCTTCACAACATATTCATCTGATAATCTTTATTTAATTGTCTAGTAATGAACAAATATTCATTTATAATAATATAACATTCTCAACAATATCAATACAAGCAGACATAATTTGAATTTCAGTGGTTCAGATGATGAGTCAGTTGGATGCCTGCTGGCTCAGTGATCTAGTGGTTAAGTGCTCGCGCGCGAAAACAGTAGGTCCTAGGTTCGAATATCGCAGGCGGCGGGATTGTGGGTGCGCACTGCTGAGGAGTCTCAAAATGGGACGAAACGGCTGTCTAGTGGTTCCAGGTTTTCCATGTTGGTTTAGCTTCAACTGACTCATAATCTTAACCATTGAAATTACTATAATATCCACAAAACCCATCTGACATAGCTTTAAGTTAATATACTTTAATATAATTCAAAATAATTCATTTATTTAACACCGGAATATTTCAATGACTTTATCCTTTGTATATATCGATAAAGTATCTGTTGAGTCGGATTTCCGAGAACTGCAACGGAGCCTCCAGAGGCCCTAAAGGGGCCGAAGAGTCCTAGCCAATCAAAGCATGATGGAGCTTTCTAGAATATCAGCGTGGCGTACTACTATTGGTCAGTAACATAATATGTCTGTTAGCGGATTGACCAAAATATAATATTGATTTAAAAAAATGTTACTTACTTACTTAATTACTTACACCTGTTACTCCCAATGGAGCATAGGCCACAGACCAGCATTCTCCAACCCACTCTGTCCTGGGCCTTCTTTTCTAATTCCATCCGATTTTCGTTCATTTTTCTCATGTCTATCTCCATTTCCCGACGTAATGTGTCATTTGGTCTTCCTCTTTTCCCTTGGCCTTGAGGATTCCATGTGAGGGCTTGTCTTGTGACGCAGTTCGATGTTTTCCTCAATGTGTGTCCTATCCACCTCCAGCGCTTCTTCTTGATTTCTTCCTCCACATTTAACAAATGTTGACATCTATAAATACCCGTGTTTTTCTGTACAAAAATGAACCTTTGGAGTAGAGTATTTTCGGTTTATTTTGCACCTTTTCTCTAGAGTTCAGGTCGCGTGTTACCAGAATAGCTTAGGAACCGAACAAAGCGTTCAAATTAACAAGACTTATCAGTATCTATGATAATTATGCCTTTTTCATTCTCAATAAATTTGGACAACAAATCTATGCCTATTTTACATAATCAACAAAATATACTGGAAAAACTAATCTAATGTAAATATTTATAGTTGTGAATAAAACTCCACCTGAAGTCCCTCCGTAGGCTACTGCCTGTCGTAAGCCCGTATAAAGGAGGAGGGTTGGGCATAGAGTTAGCGACTCCATCCCGTAGAAAACTAACTCGCTAAAAAAAACACTAACCAGAATAAAACATACTAATTATAACAGTTATAGGGTTATTATAAATATATATCAATTATGCTTAAATTATATCAAGTTGTTTTTGTTTATTTATTAGATGGTACATCGTTAATTATGGAAAAGCTATGATTTGGGAATATGGTAAAAGATTAGGATGTGACTTTGCTGAAAAAAGTTGTTACGCATTTGCTGAAATTAAAAGACGAAAGTAAGTTTTAATAGTTGAATGAATGATTCGACCTAAGGTAGACTAATATTAAAAACCTAAAAGTATTGGACAGCTATCTCGTTCTAGTATACGACTCTTCAGCAATTACATCATCATTATTTAATGTTTAAGAAAGCAAAATGTATACTCAGGAAACAGATGTATCAATATATTTATCATACTATTAAGTTCATATCTCGAAAAATGACCAAATATCAAAGTGATGTTATTCCATCAAAACCTGTTTTCTTTTTAACTGAAAAGCTGGCCATTTCATCCTAGTACAGAACTTCTCAGTAGCGTGCGCATAGAATCTTGCGCGCGAGGATTCGAACCCAGGAGCTTCAGTCTTGCGCGCGAAAAGTAACTTCCAATGGTGTTAATGTCCAACTTCCATCGACCCATCAATGACTACGCAAACATTCATCTATTATCTGAGGTAGATACTTGTGTCTATTCGACACAGTTTGACACCTCTGGTCACAGCTTCTCATTAGAATTCCAAGAAATCATCTTGAACCCAGTCACTCATGAATTCAACTATTCAAATTACTACAATCTCCACAAAAACCTCATTCTGATCATAAATATCAATTATTCAGTATAGTTTATCATTACCACATGAATAAACGGATGTATAGTAAAACAAACCGTTTTCTTACTCCATAACAGGATAGATATTTAAGAGGAATTTCATATCCTTATAATAATCTAGTACTACAGTGAACAAAACACGGGTAAGGACAATCGAATGTATTTAACACACAATTACAGAGCATCTCAATAAAATATGAGAACTATATATTAAATCGTTAATTTGCAAAATGTCCGCCAATTGTCTCAAAATACCTCAGACTTCATTGTCCTTGCATTTTCATACAGATTGCATTCTATTCCTACTCTTGCTTTCTTGATCTTCCCCTATCTTCTGCTGCCAGACAATACATTCCTGATTCGCGTCATATACTACTTATATCAATATAAGTAGGACGCACTACAGTACGTTTATAATCTTATACCTCATTGCTAGACTGTTCGTACACAAAAGAGTTAGATGAATTCCATTGTACATTTAAATACTTACTAAAACATATTTGATTTTAAATTGGTTATAAATGATTTAAAAATACAACTTATTTCTCAAGGAACAAAACCATCATCCATTCTGTGATAAAGTTAATTTAGTAACATGTCGGGATTTATATTCATATGGAATGTGCCGTATTATTAAATATAATGATGAAATTCCCCCTGAAGATCGTTTTTTTAAAATTCCCCCATTCGAAACTCAACATGCAGCTAAATACTTCGGAGGTGATGATCCATTTAAAGATTATTGTCCAACTCAAACTGTAAGTTTATTGTATTATTTCATTTTAAATATCATATTAGTCGAATTCATGAGTCAGTTAGACAACCATGGAAAACTTATAAACACTGGATGGCCAACTCGTCGTAGTACGGGATTCATTAGCATTGAGAATCTACCACCCTGACTAGTGAGATTTGAACCCAGGACCTACCAGTCTTGAGCGCTATTCCTTAACTTCTAGACCAGTGAGACGGCATCCAATGGTGTTAATGCCTAACTTCAACCAATTCATGAAATCGCACCACCGTCCACCATTGTCATCATTGAGTAACTATCTCACAACAGACACGGTTGAATTGCACTGGTTATGGATTCTCACTGAATGATACAATAACTGATATTCTTGTGAATGTTTGCTTTTCTTTCTGAGTTTTCATTCAACACATGTTCATATTTACTCCAGCTGACTTATCTTACATATATATTTTAATATAAATCTATCTTCCTATAAGATTTCATTAAGTCATCTATCATTTAGATATTGGTTTGTTGAAGTTGAATATTCCAGGTTTTGTTTATAGTGAATAACCAATCACTCATACTTTTAAAAAGAAACTGTTGAACAATATTAATCTACCAGAAGATTCTCAACGTGTTTCGTTTTTAAATTTTTACTCATACATCTGTACAATCTTACCTTTCATTGGAAAATTATAACGGTATTGAACAATACGTATCAATACCAAAGACTGACTTGATAATTTCAATAGTTGAGATCATGAGTCAATTGAAGCTAGACCATCATGAGAAAACTAGAAGCATCGGAGGGTCATTTTGTCCTATTGTGAGACTCTTCAATAGTGCGCATCCATGAGATTCGAACCCACGACCTATATATATATAATATTTGTAATACCTAAATGAGTAGAAAAATTAGATTTTCTGATGTTTCGTGACTCAGCGTAAGTCACTTCTTCAGAGAATAAACAAATAACCAAATCAAAATTAATCCAGGTTTAAATAGTACAAAGGAACAACATAAGAATATTATGTGCGGTCAATAAAAAAAAACAGGTCTGAACATGTGTTGAATAATATTCATGAAACAGATAGAATTGAGTAAGAGAAAAGACTGTATAATTCATCATTAATAGTTCAATAATCTACAAGGTTTTATAGATCTCTCAAATAGATGCTTATCAACTGTTTTTGAAACATAGATCTATTTAATGTGAAAGAAGTCAAGTCATTCTAGAAAGTAATGACAATGGTAAGTATAAATCACTGATTATAAAATACTCCAAGTTATATGGTCATAGTAACTATTGGAAGTTTCCGCACAAGTTTGTTTAGAACTTCTCAATTCACCTCTATACTAAATGAAGTTAAAATTGTTAATTTTATGTTTTTCTATTTTATGTAAACCTTCCTATTAGTTTGTTATGAGTTCGAAGAACGATAGAACGACTTCATTTTGTACACATCATGAAAACACAGAAATAACACGTGAGAATCTCGTTATCTCGTTATGTGATATGCTCTTATTCTTGATGTTAATCAGTTTCTAAGTTGAAATACATTACTTTATCCATTGAATATGAATCATTTATAACTTGCAATTGAAGAATATCCATTTCGATAGCATATTATTCTTTGTATTGTTTTATCGATCAGACTATAATTTATAGACGAACCAATCAGGTAAAAGATAATAAGTCTTAGATTTTGGTGTGAAATTCACTCATCCATTTGGCACAATACCATGTTGGCATTAGAGATGATGTCAATTCGTGATGAAAATCTCAAATCTAATTCCTAATCTTGACAATCAACTATAAATCATCATTCTAATTTCTCATACAGGTTTATAATCTTCATCTGGTCCTAGGTATTAGATGGACCCTCTCAAAGTCACTTGAGCGTCACTCAAAGGTCGTACATAAATTAAAGTCTCTCTAAAAGTTTTGAAATATCCTCTTCAGAGAAAGAATAATTAACGAAACCATGTACAATCCGTTTACATCACTTCATAGTTGAATGGGTTTAGATTGCTTCAGATTTTTTGAAAATACTTCTTAATGACATCCATTAAAATATTATGTATTTTTATATTTTATACACTAAGAAATAACATTTGGTTGAAATATTGATAAAGTGTGATGATATCCCAAAAGTGTTCTAAGGTCTGTTAAAGTGTATATTAGTTCACAACGATTGATCATCATCATCATCATCCTCATCATCATCATCATCATCATCATCATCATCATCATCATCATCATCATCATCATCATCATCATCATCATCATCATCATCATCATCATCATCATCATCATCATCATCATCCATCATCATCATCATCATCATCATCATCATCATCATCATCATCATCATCATCATCATCATCATCATCATCATCATCATCATCATCATCATCATCATCATCATCATCATCATCATCATCATCATCATCATCATCATCATCATCATCATCATCATCATCATCATCATCATCATCATCATCATCATCATAATCATCATCATCATCATCATCATCATCATCATCATCATCATCATCATCATCATCATCATCATCATCATCATCATCATCATCATCATCATCATCATCATCCTAATCATCATCATCATCATCATCATCAGAATCATCATCATCATCATCATCCTCATCATCATCATCATCATCATTTAGGTTCTTTGTTCACAGAATACAATATCCAATGTTCTGTGTTTGTGAACATAGATTTACTAATATTTTTGTTTATTTTACTACAAATTCAGAATGTTTTTAGATACCTTTTGAACTTTATTTCAATATCAGATGGTGTTAATCGTTTATACGAAACATATGGAACAAAGGCACTTTGTACAGAACATCGAGGTACTTGGATTTATAAGGATCATTATGAAGAGGAAATAAGTAGTAATGTGAAAGCAAGTTGTCATAAGGTAAGTTTAAGTCTCTTTGTCTAACGTTTTTTCTGGCTACTAATATGTGACCTATTTTCCCACGTGAGGGTAACAGGAGTAAGTTGGTAAGTGAGTAAGTAAGTAAGTGAGTAAGTATGTAAGTAAGTAAGTAAGCAAGTAAGTAAGTGAGTGAGTGAGTGAGTTAGCAAATAAGTAAGTAAGTAAGTAAGTAAGATATGTCATAATATAATATGAAACATGACGTTTATGATTCTAAAAATCTTGTCCACATTAGTTATATCTTGCTCAATTCATATCTGAACAGTACATTATTTACTACAATAAAACCGGTTTTATTAATCAAAAGTCAAAGATTTTATCAAAACACCGAGTTAAACCCTGTTTTGCGGGGACTATTTGAATCAAACTAAAACACGTAGGACTTCAGAAGTCTTAATAAAGTTTTGAAAGTAGAAAGCAATACATGCATTTCAAGTAAAATTTTCTTTATCATAACAATATGGTGAAACTATAATGTATGAACGAACTAGTTAGATATAAGATAACAGATCTTGGATTTTGGCGTGGAATTCACTCACTTATTCGACATTATAGCGCTTTGGGAATTAAGCTGATAATATTTCGTGATGAAAACCACTACACCAAATCCTAAAGCTAACCATCAACCATAAATCATAACAGAAGCTTTTTTGTGGATATTATAGTAATTTCAATAGTTGAGATCGTGGGTCAACTGAAACTGGACCATCATGGAAAATCTGGAAGCACTGAATGGCCGTTTCGTACTATCGTGAGACTCCTCAACAGGCATCAATGATTGGGAACCGCAATATTCGAACCCAGGACCTATCAGTCTCGCGCGGTTTATAACTCCGTTTAGTCCCAGTCATTAAGTGAACATTCTCAAAGCCACTCTAGCGTCATTCAAATTTCGTCCATAAATTATAGTCTCACCATGAATATCATTGTAATTATTCATAACTGGCGTTATTTTATGTCATTCTAGGATTATGTTGAAGATTTAGTAATATCTTTGACTTTTTTCTTCAGTATGTATGTCACCCGAACAGAACACTTAGTTTTTACTTCAAAAATGCAACTGTTCATTGTCCTAAAAAAGGTGAAGTACATTTTAAAATAACTGATGGAAGAACTTGGCTTCAAGGTACTCTATTTTGTCCTAATGTCAAGAGACTCTGTAAGGTATGCATTATATGTGTATATTTGTTTTACTTTGAAATGAAATTGAAATAATGTGTATTATGAACACTTTCATTTGTATTAATCTACATGTATAAAGTTAGATAGATCCGACAATATGTCATAACTAAATGTAAAGTTGTCTATAAATATTGTAGAGAAGCTGTAAGTTAGTAGATCATTTCAGCATGATTTGTAAAGATTATTACTCCGATCATGATAAATGAAGTTCCTTGATAATTTTGCTTGTATATTTGAGTTGAATCATCTTTGAATCATATATATGGTAAATTCATTGAAATAGCTAATCAGATTTTCTGAATAAATCTGTAGTGTCCATGATTCAACATCTGTCAAGGAATTATCTAATTCAGTCATAGTAGTTAGAATCAGTTGGTCAATATTTTGAGACTTCAGTTAATACTTAACTTATTTCGAGTAAGATACTATATCGTAAACAGTTACTTGATACCAATTAGTTTTGAATGCATCGTTATACCAATCTATTCTTTCATGAAACATTAAGTTTCATTAGACAGATGCTTACAATTTATAGTTAAATGTCAGTATACTAACTTTGAAATTTTGTTCCTGGAAGACCATTTCAAAGATAATATTTATCTACTTATTTTAACACAGATATTGGTACAAGGAGGAACTAAATATATATGCGCCACACAGATCTCATTTGATTTATGTGAGGGCTGTGATACCGCTCGGGTGCTCAAACCGAAACAGATGGTTTTCTAACGAGGCCACACTTGGAGACTTTGATCTAAAGGTCTAAACCACAAGGCAGTGGAGCATCGTAATTAGATGCAGTCCCATGGTAGCCGGCAACCAACGATTGGTTCATATGTCATTTGTTCTTTCAGGAAACTGGAACCCATACGCACCTTTGTTTTGGAATGAGGGTTTTCCAACTTTCCTAGGTGGACTCTCTATGTCCACCAACCCGGTTAAAACACAGGACATTCGGGCGAGACTCTAATTTAGCGACGAGCCAATCAGAAGCGTTTGAGCAATTTCAAGGTCATGGAGCCAAGTTCAACACGCGCTGCTAACATACGATCGGTTCACAGCGGATTTTAGAGAGTAGGTGATTAATGAGAGGTTGAAACAGATGGGACGGCGAAACTCTAATCTAGGGACGAGCCAATGAGAAGCGTTTGAACAATTTCAATTATTAGCCTATCAGAAGACAATATAAAGTAAAAATATATTACAAGAAAGTAATGAATTACAGTGGATATTCTTCTTTTACATGATTTAAAAACTTGTTGAGGTTTGATAAAGGCTCAGACGTTCTGAATTCATAATGCATATTGTATAGAAACTCGTCCATAGGGTTAGGGTTTGGGGTTAAAGTTAGGGTTAGGGTTTGGGTTAAAGTTAGGGTTAGATTAGGGTTTAGGGTTAGGTTAAGGTTAGGGTTTAGGGTTAGATTAGGGTTTAGGGTTAGGTTAGGGTTAGAGTTAAGGTTTGGGTTTAGGGTTAGGGTTAGATTAGGGTTTAGGTTAAGGTTAGGGTTAAGGTTTGGGTTTAGGGTTAGATTAGGGTTAGGTTAAGGTTTAGGGTTAAGTTTTGGGTTTAGGGTTAGGGTTAGATTAGGGTTAGGTTAAGGTTTGGGTTTAGGGTTAGATTAGGGTTTTAGGTTAGTATTTAGGGTTAGGGTTAGGGTTAGGTTAGGGTTAGTGTTAGGGTAGGGTTAGTGTTAGGTTAGGTTAGGTTAGGTTAGGGTTTAGGGTTAGGTTAGGGTTAGGATTAGGTTTAGGGTTAGGGTTAGGGTTTAGGGCTAAAGTTTGGGGTTAGGGTTAATGTTAGTGTTTAGTGTTAGATTGGGGTTAGAGCTAAGGTCCTAACATGCGATCGGTTTGCATCGGATTTTAGAGAGGTGTATATTGACAGGCTACAACCCTAACCACTAACTCTATGGACGAGTTTCTATACCGTATTCATTATTAATTCAGAGCCTCTGAACCTTTATCAAACCTTAAGAAGTTTCTAAATCATGTAAAAGAAGAATATCCACTGTAATTCATTACTTACAATATATTCTCACTTTATACTAACTGTCTTCGGATTGGCTAATAGTTGTCAAGGTCATTTAAGATTCGTTCAAAGGTCGTCGCTAAATTAGTCTCGCCGACATTCGTTTTTCGTCCTCTCAACTTCGTAAAAAACACACCCGCCACGAGTAGGACTTTCCTGTCAGAGGCTTTATACGCATGGCCATATGAGAGCATTTGGAGAGGAAGAACGGACTCTCCCCACTCTCGGCCGCACCAGGGCATTTGAAGGCCTCAAAGATATACTGATAGTTTAACACATTTTAAGAAAAAAATACCGATAGTTGATTGAAAAACGTTTTTATGAAAATCATAATATACAGAGTTTATTAAAAGACAACCTTACAGATGGATGATTTGTTTTGAAAAGAGGAATGTAATTCTTTTTACACGTAATTTTTGAACTGAATTATCTTTCAATTTATAAAGACAACGTTGCTAAGCAGGCTATTTGAGTTATTTTTGCAGTGAAATACATTATTTTAATATAGTGGTTAGAGGGAGTCAATCCTGTACTTAAAGTTTTGTGTTACCTGGTAATCGTGAGCAATGTGCACTTGTCATGTTGAAGGAAATAATGCTCCCTGACGGATTCAATTCCATGTCATCCAGCTTCACAGTCAGAAACGTTATCACTGAGTTATCCAGGCCGTGACTGACCTCATGTAGGACCGAGATGTATTTACACATGATTGATCACTGAGTGATATTCAACGTCATGTATGTCAGGTAATTCTTAGTACATATTGGATTCTATCAATCAAGTTGTAATGTGGCCACTAGTCTAGATGACTCGACATTGCGTACACCATCTTATATCAACATAATGTACGCAATGTGATGACATTTTAACTTGACCAATATTGATTAGCACCTAGTGATCAATCAAGTTTAAATTATTTTACGTATCGGAGCACAGTTTTTACACTCTTACTGATAAATATATAACATTTGGCACTGTGAACTAGTTTAAAGTTTTAATAATCACTAACAGTTTTCTCTATTCTTGTTTTCAGTGATTATGCTTACATGATACAATTACATCGTGCGAATATCTTTACAATCAAACTGTTGTGTTATTGAACTCATTTCATTTATATAGAATAATATTCGATTACTAATTAACTGTTGACATTTCTGATCTTATTAATTAGTTAGGAAACTTTAACTAGTCGTCACTAATCATTTCCAACTTAAGCGAAATCTTTGTCGATTACAGAATAGACAATGTAAATAGGATATAGTGTGGAGCAAAGATAATAGTATTCATATTCATGACTGGGAAGGTAGTGGACACGAATATTTTTAATAAATGCTGATGAGTTTAATTATAGTAAATAAAATGTAATGCTGTAGTGTGAGCTACTTATATCCACATAAGTAGCATTAAACGATAATTAAAAATAAAATGTATTTCAGAATAAGATAGAGAACGGAAAGTAATTGGTATGAAAATGCAGGAACAAAGAAACTTGAGACGGATGTTTA